TGGCTCACTCTGTGTCCTTGCTGGCTCACCAGCCCCGCTACCCTTCACTGTGAGTATGCAGCCATTTGGTCTGGTTACAGCGCACCTGCACTAGCCTAGGTGTCTTGCTGTTTGCTGAAGCAGCTTTGTATACCTCTGGCCTAACCTAGTTTATAGTCATTTGTAACTTAAATCTCAGAGGGCAACTCACTTCCACATTCTTGGGGGTTACTGCACTGTCGACCCCCTGTAACCGCCACGCCAGTGCCTGGGGTGCAGGACGGGGATCTCCAGGACGCACAGCGGTCACGGGACAAATAAGACGACAGAGTGCATATGGCTAAAGCCTGTTCATACTTACAAAGACAGGAGCTGGAGCATGACGTGCGTACATGCTTTGGCTATTTTCTCAAAATACGATATTAATTTTGATAATTACAAACAGAACAAGCACTGGCCTGGATGTCTGGGCAAGATCTATGCGGCTTTGACCCTGGCTCTGACACTGACTCAGCTGTCTCGGCAGGCCCTCCTGTCAGTGCAGGCTTCGGAGGAGTAAAGGGCGGGACTAGATGGCCGCTGCAGCCCCTCCCACCTCAGCGCTACAGTATCCAGCGTTTATTTTACACCAGTGACTCCTCCCGACGTCATAGCACCCCAACAGTCAGTGCAGCTTGGGAGACTTGGTGAAGGATCTCTAACGAGAAGAGAGCCCAGAAACAGATCGACACCTCTGCAGCCAGCTGACCTCTGCCCAAGGCGTCCACAGCAAGCCCCGGAGGGACAGGCTCCACGGAGGACTGCACTTTGAGCCCCTAGCTCCCACCCCATTCAAAAGGCAACTCCAAGTGGGTCAGGGATCTAAATGTAAGGCCTGGAGCTTTGAAACTCCTGAAGGAAGACACACTGGAGAACTTTAAGACATGGCCGCCGGTAATGAGTTCTTTCGATAAGACCCCAAAAGCACAGGCAACAAAAGTACAAATAGGCACATGGGATTACATCAAACTAAGAAGGAAACAATGGTGAGAGTGAAGGTACAATGGACAGAATGGGAGAAGACAGTGGGACAAAGGAGTAGCACCCAGAACACATACAGAAGTAAAAACCCCAGCAACAGGGGTGGGTTATGGTGCAGCAGGTTCAGCCACTGCCTGGGACACTGAACCCCACACAGGAGCTGCCTCGAGTCCCAGTTACTCCACTTCCACTTCTCCTTTTAGATTTTATTAATATAAAGAGAACAGATTTCATATATTTCACAGGTACAATTCTAAGATAACAATATTTCTCTCCCTCCCACAATCCCCCTCCTTCCTTCCTTTTTTCTCTAACTTTTGCAAAAGTATAACTTCAATGCACGGTATAATCAGAGGCTTAATGCAGCACTAACCATAATATTGAACCAGTAAAAAGCAGAAAGACCACAATTTCTCAGGAGTATACACAAGGGCTAAAAACAACAATCAAATCACAAGATGTCCGTCTTGGTCCTATACATTTTTTTGTATTCTGTATCAACTATCATGTGACATATATTTATCTCTTTGAGACTGGCTATTTCACTAAACATAGTGGTTTCTAGTTGCAAAAGATGAGTTTTCATTATTTTTAAAGGCTGAGAAGTATTCCATAGTTTATATATGCCACGTTTTCTCTACCCAGTCATCAGCTGATGGACATCTGGGTTGATTCCATATCCTAGCTATTTACTCAGCTGCCTGCTACTGTGCTGGGAAGGCGGTAGAAGACGGCCCAAGTAGCTGCGTCTCTGCAATCACGTTGGAGACCCGAACGGAATTTCAGCCTCCTGGTTCCAGCCTGGCTCAGCCCCAGCTGTTGTAGGCATTTGGGGAGTGAACCAGTGGGTGGGAGATCTCTCTCTCTCTCTCTGGCACTCTGCCTTTCAAATAAATTACAACAAAAACAACCCAAACAATTCATTTAAGAAATGGGCAAAGGATATGAATAGACATTTCTCAGAAAAATAAATACAAATGACCAACCAATACATGGGGAAAAATGCTCAGTTTCACTAAGCATCAGGACAAGGTGAATCAAAACTACAGTGAAATATCATCTCATTCCAGTTAGAATGACTTATCAAAAATACAAAAAATGACAAATGTGGGCAGGGCTGGCGCTGTGGTTAAGCCTCTGCCTGTGGCACTGGCATCCCATATGGGCTCCAGTTTGAGCCCTGGATGCTCCTCTTCTGATCCAGCTCCCTGCTTATGGTCTGGGAAGATAGAGGAAGATGGCTCAAGTGCTTGGGTCCCTGCACCCAGGTGGGAGACCCAGAAAAACTTCTGGCTCCTGGCTTCGTATTGGCCCACCCTGGGCCATTGCATCCATTTGGGGAGTGAATCAGCAGAAGGAAGACATCTCTCTCTGCCTCTCAAATAAATAAATCTGTTTTTTTTTGTTTTTTTTTGGTATCTACCCGACAGGCAGAGTGGACAGTGAGAGAGAGAGACAGAGAGAGAAAGGTCTTCCTTTGCCGTTGGTTCACCCTCCAATGGCCGCCGCTGCAGCCGGCGCACCGTGCTGATCCGATGGCAGGAGCCAGGATCCAGGTGCTTTTCCTGGTCTCCCATGGGGTGCAGGGCCCAAGCACCTGGGCCATCCTCCACTGCACTCCCTGGCCATAGCAGAGAGCTGGCCTGGAAGAGGGGCAACCGGGACAGAATCCGGCGCCCCAACCAGGACTAGAACCCGGTGTGCCGGCGCCGCAAGGTGGAGGATTAGCCTATTGAGCCACGGCGCCGGCTTCAAATAAATAAATCTTAAAAAAAAAAAAACTGGCAAGGATGTGGAGATAAGAGAACACCGATATTGCTGGTGGGAATGCAATTTAGTGCAATCATTATGGAGAACAATACAGAGGTTCCTGAAAACAACAACTAAAAACAGGTCTACCATACGACCCAACTATCGCTCTCCTGATAAATATCCAAAGGAAATGAAGTCAGCACGTGGACGAGATACCTGCACTTCCTCCAGGTTCATCACAGCACTATTCACAATAGCCAAGATACAGAACCCACTTAGGTGTCTAACAGTGGGTAAATGGATACAGGAAATGCGATACATATACACAACGGAATACTACTCAGCCACATAGAAGAATGAAATCCTGGAGCTGATGCTGTGGTGTAGCAGGTAAAGCCACCACCTGCAGTGCCAGCATCCCATATGGGTGCCGGTTCAAGTCCTGGTTGCTCCATTTCCCATCCAGCTCTCTGCTACAGCCTAGGAAAGCAGTAGAAGATGGCACAAGTCCTTGGGCCCCTGCACCTGCATGGGAGACCTAGAAGAAACTCCTGGCTTCTGGCTTTGGATTGGCGCAGCTCCGGCCATTGTGGCCAATTGGGGAGTGAACTAGCAGATGAAGGACACACCTTTCTCTCTCTCTCTGTTTCTCTCTCTCTCTCTCTGCTTCTCTGTGTAACTCTGGCTTTCAAATAAATAAATAAATCTTTAAAAAAATATTCAGGGGCCGCCACTGTGGCATAGATGGTAAAGCTGCTGCCTGCAGTGCCAGCATCCCATTTGGACATGGGTTCAAGTCCCAGCTGCTCCAATTCTGATCCAGCTCCTGCTATGGCCTGGGAAATTACTAGAAGATGGTCCAAGTCCTTGGGCCCCTGCACCTGTGTGGGAGACCCAGCAGAAGCTCCTGGCTTTGAACCAGCCCAGCTCCAGCCGTTGCAACCATCTGGAGAGTGAGCCAGTGGATGGAAGACCTCTTTCACTCTCTCCCTCTGTGTGTGTGTGTCTACTTCTCTCTCTGTGTAACTGATTTTCAAAAAAATAAATAAATCTTTTTAAAAAAGAATGAAATCCTGACATTTCCTGCAAAATGGATGACAGTAGAGATCATTATATTAAGTGAGATAAGCTAGACACAGGACAAATGCTCACTGTTCTCTCTCAAATGTAGAGGTTTAAAATAAAACAGTAGGTCTGGCTCAGGAATAGTGATGACCTGAGGTTGGAGAGTGTGGGCAGGGGTTGAGGGAGGTTGGCTACTGGGTGCTAACCCACAGTCAGGCAGAAGTAGCTAGTTCCAGTGTTGCACAGCACCATGGAGCGATCACAGGTCAGCATAACATACCACATTCTGTACCAAGACCTGGCAGGGAGGAGCTGGTGGGCTCCAAGCACAAAGACAAGACAGAGAAATGAAAATCGAACTGCCTGCCTTGACGAGTTTATGCTGTGCATGTGCGCCGAAATGTTTCATTGTCGTCTATAAGAATGTTAAAGTATCACATCACTATCGAAAACCTCCTTAAAAGGTTGGAGGGTGGAGAAATCAGAGCGCTCAGGATTTTCGTGATTACCACCAAAGTCTTTCAGGAGGCGGCAGCTGGGGACCTGACAGCAGCTAGCACAGCAGATGCTCCGACAACAGGTCTTCTGGGTGCCTGGCAGTCAGTGGAGGGAGGGCCGAGACGCCCCGGAGAGCTGCGCACAACCTCTCTGGATTTTCCGCAGAAGCCGGGCATTTGGGGAAATTATTTTCCTTATCTAAGAGCCGATCGCTATGATCAAATGTTTTCACAAGCTTATACCTTTGACAGCACTTGCAGAAAGCAGTGGCCTTCTCTGGCCTTGCTGTTCGGAAGCTCCACTTCTGCCCCCTCTGCCTCAGCACGCACAGATCACGCACACTAACTTACGCTCTCAAACAAGCAGTCCGCTATTGCACAAACTTGCTATCATCTGTTTATAGCACACAAAACATCCTAGTTTCAATAGCTGTGATGTTAAATTCAAAGGCATGCTTGCATTTGAACAGTCTGCAAACCCAGCTCAGGGAACAGGCCTCTGGGATGAGGCCACCGAGACAGGCAGCGCGGCGAGGGGCTCGCACCCCAGAGACACGTGTTTGTTTCTGCTGTGGCAGCCGTGAACAGACGGAGCGCAAAAGCCTGATCCCAAAAGCGTTCTTCCATCAGCTCAAATGGGATGCTTACTGAAGAAGCAACCCCGAGACTCACGGGAAAACTACCGACCTGGAGTAGTAGGACTCCACCCCCAGGGCCTCCCGGACGCTGGCGATGTGGTGCTCCAGGGCCGAGCTGGTCACCGACGGGAGGGCTGCGCTGCTGCCAGCCTGGAAGTCCCCGGAGCTCTCCACTGTGCCGTCACCCAGGTAGTGCTCGTGAAACTTCAGAATTCCTGAAACGAGACAGGCACAGGCTCGCCGTCTGTGACGTGCGATGCGAAGAGAGTCCTCAAGACCCAGCACGCCACCCTGCAAACCGCGTGGGGAAACCCTCAAGTCCAAAGTCTAAGAAGGCTGAGCTGTGGTCAGTGCCTGAAGCCAAGGTATTCAGGACACAGCTTCTGCTTTGAGGATACATCCCGACTCTCCCAGACTTAGGGGTACCTCATCCCCATTTCAACACTAGGGAGAGTCTCTTCAGGACCAGGGCAGGAGTATATCAAGGTGTGTTCTGTTGGGGCCGGCGCTGTGGTGTAGCGGGTTAACGCCCTTGCCTGAGGTACTGGCATCCCATGTGGGCACCGGTTCGAGACCCAGCTGCCCCACTTCCGATCCAGATCTCTGCTGTGGCCTGGGAAAGCAGTAGAAGATGGCCCTAAGGCCTTGGGCCCCTGCACCCACGTGGGAGACCCAGAAGAAGCTCCTGGCTCCTGGCTTTGGATCAGCGCAGTTCCAGCTGTTGCGGCCAATTGGGGAGTGAACCATTGGATGGAAGATCTCTCTCTCTCTCTCTCTATGCTTTTCCTCTCTCTGTGTAACTCTTTCAAATAAATAAAAATGAATCTTTAAAAAAAAAAGATGTGTTATATGCAGAGATGCTGAAATCTCCAACAGAAACATAATTAGCCAGTGGAAAACGTGTTATGAAAAACCCTTCCTTTCACAAAAGCCAATCAAAATAAGCATGCGGTACAAAGGCGAGGTAAACACATTTTAAATAATTTTTAAATAAGACTAACTGGTCAGTTGTCATTAATGGATTAAAGGAGTAAAAAAAAAAAAATCACGGCTGCATGAAACGGAGACAATCCACAGCAGTTTTCTGGCAATAAACACGGGACATATTCTCAAATGGTAATGAGGTGTGTCAGCCCTGGAAAGTGCTGGCCCTCTCTGATTGGATTAGAGCCCCCAGCGAAAGCTTCAGAGCCTCATTAAGAGCAAAGAGGAAGCGAAAAGAAACAATAGGAGCCTCATTACACATGGCTCATCATTACAGGGATTTGGCTCTACCACCTGTCAAATCATGTCCCCACGACATAACAGCCGCAGAGAGAAGGACCTGACGCCCCCGGCACCAGCCTTGTCCTCGAAGGCAGCGGGGAGGTCCCCTGGCGGAGGGGACACCCCTGGCGGAGGGGACACCCGGGGACTCCATCGCGGAAATCTCAACTTAAAACTTGTAGTGCGAAAAGGTCAGAGGTGAGGCTGCTCTGCGGGAACCCCATAAAGAATGCGGAATTCAAGGAAAAAGATGCTAAGAATGCGAGGCACAGACCACATAGGCCCAAGTGCTCAGAACCCAAGGGACATCTGGGGATTGTCACTTAGCCATCACTTGGTTTTGTTTTCTTTTTTTTTTTTTTTTTAATTAAAGGGATAGAAGCACAATCAAGAAAATCTTGTCAATTCTCCCTGGCAGTTGAACTTTTGAAATGGGCTTACAGATACGCAAGGAACCCATTCTTCAAGATTCCCAATTATAAGATCCACTTCCCCAGTCAATAAACTCTAATTGGATCTGGTCTGTCTCCAACATGGTGAAGCCATCAGCATTTTATTATGCAAAAAATATGGCCCGAACAGCTAATTAGTGGCTCGGTGTTTAGTGAAACTGTTACATCCTGAACATTTAATGCCAATTTAATCAAAGGGGATTTTTACTTCTAAAAGAGATTTACAACAGAACAAGTTTAAAAAATGGGTTCTGGTAAAAGCAGAAATTTCAAGCCTAAGACTTATTTACATACCATGAGAGAGTTGCCATTATCAGTCCCTTTAACTCGCCCACGACAAAGGGTCACAATTATTAAATCATAGCGAGAAGAACTCGCTAGGACCTGCAGTCGGCGCTTATTAGCTAAGGAACAGCAGCTGCCTCCAAACAGGGCGGCGGCTGAGATTAATCCTCGCTAAATGCGTCCACATTCACCGGCCAGGGACAACAGTTTCTCGGGGCAGGGAGAGAGCCGGGCTGTCTTATTAACTGAGTGCCCCACAGAGATGTTAGCAGAGATGTTGCTAAAACAGACATCAGCTCCTTCGTCTGAACTACGATACCGCACCTCGTCCACTTGCATTCGTTCGCCTTCCACAGGTCTGGTGTCTTAATTGCCCTGCTCCCACGGTGTAGGCGCTTACCTGCCCCCGGAGCAAGCAGCCAGCTGTACAGGTAGCCTGCGGCCAGGGAGTAGTAGAGCACCAGGCCCCTCTGGCTGTTGACCAGCTCCAAGATCTGATCGATAGTGACCGGGGAGTAGGGGTCGGAGTCCTGCTGTCCCGTCTGTCGCTCCACCAGAAGATCGGCAAATGCCCTTGTCCGCCCCCTTTCTGCCACCGCCAGCGCTTCGTCGTGGTGGCCTAGAAGACAATGGGATGAGAGGCTGGGAGTGCACGGTGAGCCTTCGCCCTCAGAGAGGGCCACCAGGCACAGCCAGCAGATCCCGCTCCGTACCACGGTCTCAGTCACACCGCATCAGGTTCGACTCCCTGCTGCGGGTGGTGGCCGCTCTCACAAACTCCCCATTCCCAGACTCAGTGAGACTCGCTCCACACCACCCTAAGCCATTGGTCTTGCTGTCTTGCAGCGGCCCCACGGGAGAGCGGACCTAGTTCAGAGCTTGACCTTGGCTCTGCCCGTTCTCTGCCGCTCATCCTGGGCTGCTCTTCCACCTGGCTTCGGCACTTCCAAGCCCGCTCACGGGGCTCTCTGGACCTGGTGCTTTGCGCTCCAGCTCCCCTGTCGACTGCGATTCTGTGTGGCTTTAGCAGGACAAGTTTCCTGGCCCTCTTGCCCAGCAGCAGCCCCTCTTCGCGTCACATTGTCCCGTGACCCTGTCTTTGCACACTCGGTTCTGCTGCTGCTGCATCCTTTCCCTGGCACGGACCCCGTCTTACAAAGGGGGATTGTAGCAGCTGGCCCGCCTGTCTCAGGGGGCTACTGTAAAGAGCAAATGAGGCTCCACAGGTAGAGGTGCCCAGTAGGCCTTCTTAAAGCGCCGTGGGCACAGCAGATGGGATTATTATTCTTAGAGCAGATGCCTCGTTCTGTGCTGGGCTCCTGCGCACTTACTTCTCTCCTCCAGAGAGCAAAGGGTTTTAACCTCTCAGGTCTCTATTTTTTTAACACTGTTTTTCTTTTCCAAGTGTTTCTAGTCTTTCAGTCCAACGTCTAACCCACTTCCCCTGCAAAACTAGTCTATAATGGAGTTCAAAAGCTAACCAAGGCGAAGGTGCCAGGTTGTCAAGCAACAGCCTTGCAAGTAAGGACGGTTTGAGTGCTGAAGGAACACGATACCGAGGGTTTACCCGCAGACAGCTGTACACACGCTTGAACCCGGGGCCAGAGAGCGAGCAGATGCTGCCCCCCGACAGCACCTCAAGGATGTGCTGCAGTTCAGGTATCAGCAGAAAGTGGGGATTTGCGTGTGTGTGTGTGCGTGCAAGTGTCTTTTATTCTATTATTAACTGGAACAGCAGGGACAATTTCTATGCACATGGGAAAATTGGTCACAAAGTGCAGGATGGACTTAACACTGATTATAACAGATAATAAATTGCAGTGCCAGCCAATGAGCACATTTCATAGGTACTTTTTTTTCCACAGGGAAACTTGTCTTCCTATTCATACAGCAGAGGACGGGTTACTGAAAAGACCTCACTACCCAACTTCAAAGACTTCATTATTCCAATGAATCCCTTCTGGGGAGAGGCAGAGGACCGGAAGCCGGCAGGGCCAGTGATGACTGCTAAGGCCCAGGAGAAGGGAGCAGCAAGCTGCTCCGGTGTGATGTGGCACAGGCGCCCGGAGGGATGAGGCCACCACCCGGCGAGCAGACTCCCATGGCAGCCTGGAAGATGTGTGGATGAGGAGAGAGAGAGACCTGGCGTCTCCTCAGGTACTGCCCCTGCGTCAGGTTCTTGAACCAGGTGAGGGTAGGAAGATGTTTTAGGGCCACCTTTGTGGGGAGCAACTCGGACTAGACTAAGTTACTGGAATTAAGACTTATTCTATGCATCTGCTCTCCCACAATATGGCACTGGGAGAGGAGGAAACAGCTTCTACACAGCTGCCTCCAGTTCAGCCAACAAACTGTAGGACCTGCTCCTGATTGGAGGAGAGCAGCGTACTCGGCGTGTGGGTAGCAGAGTTGGGATTGGCGGAAGAGGACTATAAAGGAGGAGAAGGAACATCTAAGGGGAACACCTGTGCAGCCCCCGAGAGAGCCGACCGGCGGTGTGCCGCTCCCCTGTGGAAGTGGGGAATGTGGCAGGGGGAACCGCCCTTCCACGGAGGTGGAAGGGATAGTAGCCAACCCGGGAAGAACCAGCAGCAAACCCGGGGAGGGCCGAGCAGACAAAAGAACAGCGCAGGGTCCTGTGTCGTTCCTCCACGAAGAGGGGGAGCGACAACCTTCTCCAGCTCCGGGGCCTGCTAGCCAAGTCACTATGTTTCTCCCGCATTTGGGTGTGCTCTCCTCTGGTGCCTCTCACACTGTACCGGACTCACTGCCTTGTCTCTTGGTAGAGTAAGGGCTTCCTGAGGTCAGGAGCCAGGCCTCCTTGACCATAAGCCCCAAGGAAGGCACTCAGCACTCAGAGGTACTTTCCCAGTCTTGGCTGAATAAATGGACACATGGGCAATAGCTGGCTGAAGCTGTGGCTTTACAGTCTGCACGATGAGTCGTATTTCTTCACAGCACTCACTCGACAACGTGAGACCGCGCCAGTGCAGGTACACACAAGTACAGACACACACACATGCACACACACGCACACACAGCTGCTCTCACCTAGGCTGACGAGCACCCGCTGCAAGGCCTGATACGATGACGTCTGCAGGTCAAACAGGGAGAGTTTGTAGTCTGTGCTCAGCTGGGCCTCGTGCCGGATGGTTTCAAACAGGGCCGATGCCCTGTAAAGCTGCAAGTAGGGCACAAAGCACGTCATCCAGTCCCCAGGAACCAGCCCAGCTGCTGACAGCCAGAATCCCCTTCAACCCACACCCTGGTGCACAACCAAGTGAGCGCGGCTTGCAGAAGCAGGAAAGGAGGCGTCTTCACATTCAGGCAGGCCCTGGTGGACCTGACGAGGTCTCCAGCAGACCAGTGCATAGCCTCAATTTTTAACACGTGAGGGGATCTACAGATAAAGGCTGTAGACTTGCAGTCTGAAGGGCGTAAAAACATTGCACCATTAATGCAAGCAAGGGCTGCTTTTGATAAAAAAACAAGCGAAAACCCCCTCTCTGTCATCAAGTGACAAAGTGAGGGGGCCCTGCTGGAGACGGACACGGCTCCCACACCCTCAGGGTGAGGCAGCCTTTTCTGCAAGGCGCCGGGCCCCCTCCCAAGGGCATGCTGGGGCCTGGACAGTCACCATCCCCACAATGGACACTCTATTCTGCAGTCAGTGAGGCCACAAGGCTGACATGTACAGTATCAAATTTTTAGTTCGTCCAGTCTTAAAAAACAAATGTTTCTGTGGCCACCTCTGGGTGGGAGCCCCGGTTTACTTATCCCAGTGGCCCTGTGTCTAGCACACAGATTATCCTCGTGGTTGTCACACACGGGCTCACCAGGTGAATGTGTGCCCCTGGATGTGGCCACCCCCCTCTCCTCCAACCCCAGAGAGGAAGCCTGCGCTGTGAGGGATCCCTCCGCCCTCCTGAGCCAGCCTGACAGCGGGCTCCTCTTCAATGCCTGGTTCACACGCAGGACTGCGTGAGGGGGAGAGATAAGCTATGTCTATGGATATTACTAGAAACCCACAAAGATATTAAATCCAATAATTATGAATTCTTGTTTTACTTCTATTGTAAAATGAATGTAATTACATATTAAAGTTTAATGAGGAGCAGAAGCACACAATACGAGAATTCCAAAGAAATTATTGCGAAATCTATCACAGGGGCGCGTGAGCAGGAATCTCCACTGATAGTTCGACCCTTCTGGGTAACGCAGGAGGCGAATCCTGGACGTCAACGCCAGGGGAGAGTCGGCTTCTCTGGCAAACGTTACAGCAAGGGGAGTGACCCCAAGGCTTTCCGTGCCTCTGGAAACAAGGCCCACTTGGGTCCATGGTCCCCCTGCTCACCTGGTGTTGGGCCTCCTCCAGGTTTCCACTAGCCCAAAGGGAGAGGCCAAGACCATGGCGAATTTTAGCCTCGTCTTCTCTCCGGCCCAGTTGCTCGGCTAATCTCAAACCTGAAACCAAATAGAGAAGTTTAAGCAAATGCAGAAGACAGAAAATTCCACCCTGCCAAGGAGACCCAGAGCATAGTTTTGCTTCAGGTGCGGATTAAGAACGCCAAGCGCGCGGCTGAAGGACGTGCAGGCCGAGCGCTGAGTCAGCCGAGGCGGCATCACCGATCTCTCCACACTCTCGTTGGCGGTGCATTTACAGGACACCCCAGGATGCCCCGGCAAGAGCTCAGGCGATGGCTATCAGCAGGAGACAGATCTGCAGGGCAGGCACAAACACGGAGACGCACGGAACCTGCGCCTGACCGCCCTCCCAGATGTGAAGCCCTTAGCTGTGCAAATGGAAACTCCCAGCTGATAAACTTATCTAACACGATTCTTCTTCGCTGGTGAGAGCTTTTCCTGCCAGTCAAGCACAGAAGCCAAGATAATGCTCTTTGCTATCTCATGTGCACAGTATCCAATCAGTGCAGCGGAATACACACACAGCCTGGGCCTGCCTCCTGTTACTGGTGCTACTGCCACATTTCATGTCCAATCTGCTGTTCCTTTAAGTCTGAGACTTTGATGTGCCTCAGCGGGGTTGCAAAACTAGGGCTATTACGAGTCGAAAGCCTTAAATGAGACTGTCCTCATTTTAATGGCCTTCAGATAGAAACCTGCAGCTTGGGTCACTTCCCCACAGCAAGCTTCAGGACACCAGCAACCTTTGGAGCTTTGTGGGAGCCACATCTGAAGGCAACCGTTTATTGCACTGGTCACTAGGCAGTTCTCAGCCGCACTGCGCTCTCATTATCCTGCCGTCTGTGCGGGGAACAGCAGGAAGGCTCCAGCAGTACAACTGCGCGCACAAAGGAAGGGCTTCCTTCTCCTAATCTAATTCAGAGTGGACGGGCACCTGCCTCTGGCCATGCTGAGCCTGTGCAGTTGCAGCCTTCTCAAAAGGAAATTAATCCAGAGAGGCTAATAGAATGGATACTCAGGTTCAAGTCCACGCAATGTGTACTTCAAAATGCGCAGAACACGGAAAATGTAGAAGTAGCTCAAGCTTAAATCATGCCATTGAGTAACAAAAAGGACACTCGCCAATTGCATTTCTAAATATCTCATAGAATAGGAACACACGTGAAAGACGACGGTTCTCGGGAGATACCTGAGGGAATACTCGTTCTCACAGTCAACAAGCTAATCCCAGGCTGCTGCTAGGTCTGGGTCTATGAGTCCGAGCTAAAATTAACTGAGGCAAACAAACCCACCCCTGCCCCAAAGCACATTCTGCGAGATCAGGGCTTTGCTTGCTACATCCCCAGCATATAGGGAGCTCAATGACAAAGAGCTAAAGTCCTCTGGACGGAGGCAATACCTATCCTGCACCTGCTTCTGCCTCTGCCCCATCCAACCAGCTCTCCTGGAGGCCGGCTTGCCAGAGACTGGTTGCACAACCCCAGGTAGCTCACCAAATTGCTCCAGGGCTCCCTTTTTGTCCATGTGTAAAATGAGAAAGAGCTGGGTGAGACTTTGACGGTTTTTAAACCAGAGATGTCCATCACCTGCAGAGCGTGTTGAGCCATGTGAGCTGTTGCCCTGGGGCAGGTGATGCTGATCCACGGCACCCTCCCCCTGGGAAAGCAGGAGGGAGGGGCACTCCTGGGGTTCCCTCTTTGCAAGAGGCTGCGCACCCACCTCAAAAGGCCCGGAGAGTGCGTCCAGCACTTGTAGCAGCCCCAGCTCGGAGCTCGGGGGAAGAGGCATCTAGTCTGGCCCACGAGAGAGGCACATCCACAAGCATCCGCAAGACAGAGGCTGCGGAGATGCTCCAAATAGGAGTCTTTAGATCTCTACAAGACTTCAGTATCACAAGAAACAACGGAAAGAAACTCCGTGAATGGAGAGCTACATTACGCTGTCTCAGGCAAACCAGCTGCTCCCCGGAAGTAGTACTTCAGGACGTACAAAGGAGCACAGCGCGGGAGGGCCGTGGAGGGCCTGGACTTCAGAGTCCCACACTTCAGCTGTCAAGCTTCAGGGAACCAAAAGCCAGTGCTCCGTGTGGGCGTGGAGCCCCACCCGAGAGGTGGCATGGTCTGGCATGGGGAGTCCAGGCACACAGCGCCGCTGAGCCCTCGGGCCACTCTGGTCCCTGGTCAGTGCACACATCAGCCCCCCTCCCGCCTCCCACCTCCCCTGTGCTGGCTGCAGCCCTCAGTCCCAGCTCTCCAGCTGGGCAGCAGTAATCAGACGCAGCTGCCCCCTCCTGCTCTTTCCTCTTGAGGTCAGAAGCTACTCCAGCCAGGTGCTTGAGTGGGCTTGTCGTGGCTAACGTGACCTAAACCAGTATTTCAGGCTCTTGCCTTTTACTTAGGAAAGAATTCTAAGCATAGGCTCACACACAGCATGCAGCATGGTAAGATTTAACATTTATTTAGAAAGTGAGACGAGCACACAGGAACACGAGGGCCTTGTAGGGGAGAGTGAGCCAAGAAGGGTGAACAGGGACCTTCACACCAGTCACTTCCAGGGGTCCACGAGGAGAGGGAGCAGGCCAGAGAGCACGTGCAGGTGAGCGACAGGGTGCACGGGCGAGAGGGGCGGGCCCAGTGCGCTCCAGGCCTCCTAGTCACTTCCAAAAGGGGTGTGGTTACAGTCTGATTGACAGGTAGGTGGATACAGGTGAGACTACATGGGGGCAAAGGAGGTGTGACCTCCAGCTCATGAACCCAATCTGTCTCCAAGAACAGTCCTATACCAGTTTCTAGGGTCAGAAGCCCCAGGCTGAGCCCTACCCCGAGGTGAACCAACCACATGGCGCCTCTGGGCCCCAGGTGAGTTGGCTGCACTAATGGGAACGAAAAGATATGCTTAAGATCATTGTGAGACTGAAATTAGATTAATGGAAAAATGGGATTAAAAGATGTTTATTTGGGTGGAAGAACATTTTGAAGGTCATGCATACTTCCCATGAGCGCTGTGAACAGTCTTCACATCAGCGAGGGTTTTGCACCCATTTCCACTTACGGATAAACTGAGGGCATCAGATCTGCCCCTCTGCTTCGGGGAAGGACGCCGTGCACCTGTGCGGGGAGAGGCCCGCCTCCGTGGGAAGAGGTGGGAGCCAATGCACCGCTGTGGGACACGCGTGTCGGGATAAGGACACGTCCACGGGCCAGCGGTGCTCGGGTAACTGTGTGGTCTGAGGGCAGAGGAGGGAGAGGGGTGACCAGTTTCTGGGTCTGCCTGGGCCGGCCTGAGCACCACAGGGAATACACAAAGGGACAGAGCTTGTGGCAGGCTGGCCTGTTTCTACGCCTCAGACCCCCCCATCTTCACAGTCAGAGCTCGTGTGACGACCACAGGGCTCTGAAGAACACTTCGGGCACAGCTCCGCGGGCTGCGGTGGCAGTGGCCGCCTCCCCGAAGGAGCAAGGCGGGCTAGGTCCAGCGGGCTGGGAACAGTGCTGTGGGCAGCGCAACACCTCCGCACCATCGGGGACACCGGGTGGGGAACACTGCGGTCTGGAATCAGCTGACAGCGTGGCTCCCATCCACGCAGCGCTGGCGGCCACGCACACTGCGTGCCCTTCCCTCTCAGGCTCAAGGCCTGGCTCTGAAACTGACCTCAAACACACCCAGACCACCGTGGGCCTTGGCACCTACCTTCCTGTAAGTACATGACGGCCTGGGAGTAGTTCTGCAAGGCGTGGTGGGTCCTTCCCAGGCTGCTGTATGACACCGTCTTGGCCACCAGGTCGTTCATCTGGGCAGCGATGCTCAAGTGCTGTTCTTGGTATACCACGGCCCTCTCGAAGGTGCCCAGGGACTCGTACGTCAGGCCCAAGTTCCCGTAGGCGCGGCCCTGGCACGTGGGGTTGTTGGTCTCTTCCGCTATCTGCAAGTCGAGCTGGTGGTACTGCAGGGCTGTGTCGTACTCGCCCATCTGCTGGTAAACACCGCCTAGGCCACAGGCCGCATCGCTCTCCAGGGCTCGGTCTTTCATCTCTCTAGCAATGTTCAGCTGGCGTTCCAGGCAGGAAATGGCTTGTTCGTAATTCCCTAATTGGCTGTGCAGACTCCCCAGCTCTCCGTAGGCCTGCGCTTTATTGAAGGCCTCCCCAAGCTCGTGGGCAACCACGAGCCTCTTTTCGAAGCACACAAGGGCTTGCTGCAAGCTCCCCATCGCCCTGTGGGGATGTAGACAGAAAAGCAATGATATTATTTCATGCAGGTGCAGACATGCTAAAGCCCCTGAGAAAATGAAAAGCATTTGTCACTGTCACTTACTATAGAAGCTCTTAACTCCTCTCCTGGCTAAAATCTATCATGTGCCCTTAGAGTGAGATGCAGAGGAATTTCATAATCTGGAAAGCAATTCAGAAGTCATCCCTTAGTGACCTTCCCAGGAGCTCGCGATTCAATGGGATAGACACCCCGAGGAAACATAAAATATATTAATAGGCACAATGATAGCAAGTGAACTGTTTGGTTCTTCGGGCCTCCCAATTTCCACTACCACTTAGACTGTGTTTTTGAAATCACTTTACGGTGGCTATAAATCTCTCAGCCTGAGCTTCTCAGAGCACTCTGTGGGTGATGATTTAGTCTGACCCTTGCCCTTCCTCCACTCCAGGAGCCCTAATCCCCTGCCTCTCGGGGGAGGCCATATATTCTGCAGACACAGACGCCTTCTTGGGTTCCCCACATTCAGGGGAAAAGCATCACCTTGGCCACGGCGTGCCTTTCTGAGCAAGCAGGAAGCATGGGTAGAGCGTGGATTCAGGTGGCCAACCAAACCAGTTATGCGGGGCTGCGGACCCCTTTCTCTGGGCTCTGGTTTTTGGTGATAAATCACTCCCGTAGCAGACGGTAATCGCTGTGTACTAATACGGGGTTGCTACAGCTAGGAGTCAGGCGCTAACACAAGGCGCCCAGCATGAGCTCCAGTGCACAACACGCGTTTAGTCACTCCCCCTATCACCAGGTGGCTTTTCCTAAAAGTGACACAACGGGATCCAAGTAATTAGTGGGGGCAAGTGTCGTAGCCATGAACTCGTTCACACGCATGGCAGGGACTCCAGAAAGGTCAGCTGAGCCCGTTCCTCCACCTCTCCCACCCTCACTGACTCCCACTCTGCGTACTATGATGCAGTCCACAAAGGCATTAGATTTGGACTCGGAAGAGTCGGGGATTTGACCCCCAGCTGCCCCTGGGAATTCACCGAACAGCAGGGGGAATCAAATGGGCAGGCACCAAAATGCCTGTGGTTAATAAATGGCCGTGCAGGCGTGAAGTGGCCAATACTGTCACAACTGCTCTTTTTGCACATTTGCCCTCTGTCATCTTACCTGTGTCCGTTTCCTAGGCCCCGGTAGGCCTTGGCTTGGTCCTGCATCCGATTGAGACTCTGGGCCACAGACAGATACTGCTCATAGTACTTGATAGCTTCCTCGTAGTCACCCAGGGCCTCATAGCAATCCCCTAGGTTGCCGTAGGCCCGGCCCCTGTCGAGCACAGATTCATTTCCGCTCAGCTGCTGCAGCATGGCCAGCTGCTGCTCGAAGTAGCCGATGGCTTCTTCCATCACGTTCATGTTCATCTTTGTGATGCCCATGTTACCATAGACCTGGGCTTCTAAACTCGGATCTTTCAGCTTCTGCCCTAGCTCCAGCTGCTCCTCATAACACTTGAATGCCATGGTGTACTTCCCGAGGGCCATGTAGACAGCGGCCAGGTGCCCGTGAGCTCTGCACTCCCCCGGCAAGTCACTCAGCTCCTGATACACCTCCAGTTCCTGGGTGTGGTAACCCAAGGCCTTGTCGTGCTTCTGGATCATCCGGTAAGCAGTGCCCAGGGCCGCGTACGCACTGGCCTCCAGCCTCCTGTCCTTTACGTGGTGAGCTAAGCCCAGCTGCTGCTCGTAGAACTTTATTGCACCATTTATATCCTTTTTACAGATAAATATATCGCCCAGGTTCCCCAGGGCTCGAAATTTAGCCTGGGAATTATTCAGGGACTGGGCTAGAGACAGTAGGTACTTCTGACACTCTTCAGCTTTGCTGAAATTCAGCAGAGCCTTAAATGCCAGGCCCAGGTTGCAATAGGCTTTCGCTTGGCTCAATTTGTCGTGAAGGTCCTTGGCCAGCGCCAGGTCCTGCTCGTAGTATTTCACGGCCTCCTGGTAATTCCCAAGGCAGTAATGGGCATAGCCAAGGTTGTGGCAGACCTTCCCTTCTCCTTCCATGTCTTGAAGGTCGGGAGCGAGCCGCAGATACTGCTCGTAGTAGGGGGCGGCCTGGCCGTACTCCCCCCGCGAGCAGTGGAAGTTGCCCAGGTTGCTGAGGGCCCGGGCCTCGCTCTGGATGTCTCGCAGCTCCCGGGCGATGTTCAGGTGGTTCTGATAGTGCTGCAGGGCCCGGTCGTGGGCGCCTAGGGCCTGGTAGGCCACAGCCAGGTTCCCGTGCGTGGAGGCCTGCGAGGCGCGGTCGTTCACCTCCATGGAGATCTGCAGCTCCTGCCGGTGGTACTTGACCGCCTGGTCGTACATGCCCAGCGCGTTGTAGGCATTGCCCATGTTCCCGTAGGCACGGCCCTGGGCGGCGTAGTCGCTCAGCTCCTGGGCGATGCACAGGTGGGTCTTGTGGAGCTTCAGCGCCGTGTCATAGTCGCCCTTCATCTGGTGTATGATGCCTGAACGGGAGAAGGCAAGATCAGAAAAAGTTCCGGATAACTAACTGATTGGCACTTTCGAGGAGAAAAGGCAGAAGTTGCAACTTCGTTTATAATAAAATATATTCCAGAATAATTAAAAAATTTAAAATAACAGAAGGTAGAATTAAATATTTATCAGCTCTCCAGAGGGAGGATAGCTTTCTAGGCTTCGAAGCGACAGAAAAAACATTGACAGATTTGATTACAAAAATAAGATTTTTTGTCCTACAAATAAGTATCTAAAATTAAAATGCAAGCACAACACTGGAAAATATATGGAGCATATGAAAAGGTTCAGTAGCTATTGTGTGTAAAGATTTCACTTGCTTGGCTTTAAAAAAAAAAATTAAGACCCCAATTTGCTAAAATAGGAAAAGCAGCGAGTTAGTAGACAACTCACATCCAAAGAAATACAAAGAATAACCACAGGGGGAAATGCTAATTCCCTTTAATAATCAAAGAAATGCAAAATAAAGCCACCCCAAAGTAGCATTTTACTTCTTCTAAATTAGCAAACAAAAAATTTAACCCCTCCCCATACTGCTGAGGTTGCCCAGGAATTGAGAAAGATCCCGATTGTTAGGGGCATAAACTAGGACAAGCTTTGGAAGCACAACAAGGGCTGCAGGCGGGGTCCTGCTCCGACCCTGAGACCCTCCTGGAGGGGAAGAAGTACCACAAAGAAACAGAAAGGCTGCACACACAGCAGTCTCTGCCCCAGCGTTCCGGATTCATGGAAAAATCAGAAACATCGCACAGGCTGCGCTGGGGGCCCTGGCAGTACCTTTTGGCTCATCAACTCAGTAGAGGATGTCGCAGTCATTAAAAGGATAATTATGAAGACTATGCAGGAAGAATGGAGAAGGTGTTCTTAAAATCATGCTAACCAGAAAAGGCACTAACAGTGCTGCACAAGCCAGAAAAATCAATGTGTGCACGTGGACAAGACCTTGAGGAGGGAATGAAAAATAAAAACAGTTGCCTAGTTACGGGATGGGATTTGAGTGATTTTCGTTCCCAAACTTCTTGTAACTCTATTCCTTTTACAGTCAATAATAACAGTGCTCCAAACAACCCTTGGACACTAAGCAACGGCTCCTTAGCTATGCTGTTGTTTTTATCAGCAGATCAACATGAGATATGTCAGGCTTGCAAGCCAGGGGCGTGATAGTGCTTAGGTAGGAGGTAGCTTATAGGGGGGCCTGGTTCCTTGCAGCATTGGGAAGGGGGGAGGATGCAGGGTGCAAGCAGGTTGCTCCCTGACCTTGGTTTAGAGTACACTTCTCCATGCATCAGTATGTGAGTTTGCAGCCGTGATGAAAACCAGCAAAAGGACAAAACAAACACAAAAAAAGCCCACGAACGCCAAGATGAGTCTTACTGCACGCCTGAACAGAAAATACAGCATTGTGGCCGGCGCCGAGGCTCACTAGGCTAATCCTCCGCCTAGCGGCGCCGGCACACCGGGTTCTAGTCCCGGTTGGGGCGCCGGATTCTGTCCCGGTTGCCCCTCTTCCAGGCCAGCCCTCTGCTGTGGCCAGGGAGTGCAGTGGAGGATGGCCCAGGTGCTTGGGCCCTGCACCCCATGGGAGACCAGGAAAAGCACCTTGCTCCTGGCTCCTGCCATCGGATCAGCGCGGTGCGCCGGCCGCAGTGCGCTGGCCGCGGCAGCCATTGGAGGGTGAACCAACGGCAAAGGAAGACCTTTCTCTCTGTCTCTCTCTCTCACTGTCCACTCTGCCTGTCAAAAAAAAGAAAAAAAAAATACAGCATTGTGAAAGAAAGCTCTCCAAACCCAGCCTCCACAATTTGCTTAACTCCATACCACCCTTCATCCACTCCTTCATTCATTCACTTACCCAGCAAACACTAACCAGGCACTGATGTGTACTAGGCCTGGGGTGGGCAGCAGGAGCAGACAGAGAACAAAGACAGAAGTCCTTGCCCCCAGAGATCACACAGTCAGCGCTAGAGGCAAGTGTGGGGTGGGCCTGGGAGCCACCACCTACTGCTGGATCTGCCCCCGCCCTGGGACCCTGTCATCTCACTGTTGGTGACTGGTCTTAGGTGTCGGATAGGCCACGTGGCCACCTGTGCTTCTGTGTTTTATTTAGTTCATCTATAAAATGAGGAAAATGGTAATTGGAAGGCTAGCCTTAGAGAGTCCAAATGAGGTTCAAACGAAACAACTCGTAAGCTGCGAAGTGAAATTTTAATATGAAAATATTCCACGCTCCCAGGAAAAAAAGAGTTCTTGAGGTGGCAGAGGTTAAATAAACTATGGTGATATTTCTGTTTTTTTTTTTTTTAATGAATAAAATAGTTCATAATTTAAAAAAAACATGGTACCTACGTGTGCTGGAATCACATGGTGACATTAAAAAGGTGAAGTAGCAGCTTACATATTGACAGAGGAAGAAATTTACATTCTAATTAATAGGGGGATCTGTGTGGTCAGGAGACAGCACATGGGAAGGAGAACTGTATGGGATATGTGTACGCAGACACATCCACTACTGTACAGACATTCAGCACATTTATTCAATGCTAACAGTAGGAATCCTGTGGTGGAACTACCAGGTTTTTCTTTTTGCTTATCTGTATTTTAATTGCTCTCGCTGTCATGGACACATAACCCTTGGTTTAGAAAAGAAGAAAAGTATTTTTGAACAATGCTCCCGTAAGAGAAGTAAAATTTCTGGGGCCTGGGTCTGGTAACTCCCTGGACTGGAGAAGTTACCAGCACCCCAGCTGGCAGGATCAGTTTCTCAGAATTTGTCTCAAGGTCAGAAACCCCCCAGAAAGGGCCAATACCTTAGCATCACCCAGAACCTTGGTAATGACGAAAAATCATCAGTGACAAACATGCCAGAACTAAGGACCTGAATTTAACATGCGTTCCTAAACTGCTTTTATCTAAAGGGAAAACAGGCCGATTTTTTTTTCAGGTGAATTTTTCTTACCATGACACTTTTTTGCTTTTTCAATAAACATGATTCCCAGGTCCACACTGATGGCCTGATGACTGGGAAGGGCCCATCACCTCCCTCACCACCCCAAACGCAAGATTTCCAATTGCCAGGTGTTCTTAGAAGAAATGAGTCATTTACTTTCTTGCTCTCAGGTTTCTGCATTTCTAGAATGGGAGTCAAAATACCTACCAAGAGGTGGCCGCTCGCTGCAGGGGCAGGACACGGTTAGGACGCCTGCATCCCACAGAGGAGTCCTGGGTTCATCACCCAGCTCTGGCCCCTCACTCCACCCCCTGCTAATGCAGATCCTGGGAGGTAGAGTGATGGCCCAAGGAACTTTGTCTCTGCCACCCACATGGGAGACCTGGATTGAGTTTCCTGTTCCTGGTTTTAGCCCCAGCCCAGCTCTAGCCATCGAGGGCATTTGGGGAATAAACCAGTGGATGGCAATTCTCTCTCTCTCTCTCAGAAATAAATGCTTTTAAAAACTCTGTCCAGGAGCCGGCGCTATGTCATAGCCCTGCCTGAAGCGCCTGCATCCCATATGGGCACCAGTTTGAGACCCAGCTGCTCCACTTCCAATTCAGCTCTCAGCTATGGCCTGGGAAAGCAGTGAAAGATGGCCCAAATCTTTGGGCCCCTGCACGCGCGTAGGAGACCCAGAGGAAGCTCCTGGCTCCTGGCTTCGGATCAGCACAGCTCTGGCCATTGCGGCCAATTGGGGAGTGAACCAGCGGGTAGAAGCTCGTGCTCTCTCTCTCTCTCTCTCTCTCTCTCTCTGTTTCTCTCTCTGTAACTCTGACTGCCAAATAAGTAAATCGTAAAAAAAACACAAAAAAAAAAACAAAAAAAAAAAACCTGCCCAGCCAATGTCTCTGAACCTTTCTTTTCTTTCTTAAATTGAAATTATTTTCACACATTGTGTTTTCTTACTAATAGAGCTATAACCATCTCTAGGGAATAGTCTGAGAGACATTAATAGTATACATTAATATGTATTGTAAACTATGTAACTTGGAATGCCCAGTGTTGCGAGAGAGAGGCAGAGAGAGAGAATTCTGTCTTTTACTCTCGTGGCCTTCAGAGCCTGGACTAGTTACTAGGGAGCAGTTGCGATGGTCATGGCTACCCTGGGCTCAATGATTTGTGGAAGAAGCTCCCTGCTGTTTATGGCAAAATGATCTGATCTCCAGCCAGCTTCTCGGGGAACTCTCCCCCTTCTTCCTTCTGTCTCAGTTTCCGTTTCCAGGGGCCTACAAAGAAGCGCGGGAGAGGCTCAAAAAACAAAGACTTGCACACACATGGGAGGCTGGAGGAGCTGGGCCTGGCTGGGCCTGGCTGGGCGGGGCGTGTTTTCGCCCGCCCTGCGTCTCCCCTGTCTCAGCCACTGCCAGCCTGGTGAATTCGGAAGGCAGCAATGCATGCTCTTGGCAGCCTTTCTCTTTGTTGAGGCAACATAAAGGCGGCCCTGGGAGCTGCCAGCGGAGTGACTGCGCGTGCTGAGGAGATAATCTGCAGATCCTCCTTCCCTTTCGAGACCACAGCTTGATTTCCCAGGGCCGTCACTCAGAGGAAGGCTTCCAGAGGGCCTGTCAGCGGGAGCTCGCCAGGTGACAACAGGCCACGGGGAGGGGAATTAAATGAAGATTAGTGGGCCAGAAGATCCTCACAAGCCGAGCGTTCACAAGGGCGTGCGGAGAGAGGCCACGTGGTTGTGAATTTATACGCTGCCACGGTAGGCCTCCACCAAGGGTCACTGGCATGGGAGTAATAATACCGGCTTCAAAGGGTGGGTGTGAGGCCCAGGAGAAGCAAGCCCAAGTGCCTGGGACATGTAAGTGCTCAAAACATTTTGCTCTTTTAAAATTTACTTATGTATTTGAAAGGCAGAGAGAGAGAGAGAGAGAGAATGAGCATTTCCATCCACTGGTTTACTCCCCAGTGCCTGCAAAAGCCAGGGCTGGGCCCCACTGAAGCCAGGAGCTGGGAACTCAATCAGGTTTCCCG